AGGAGGAGGATGAGGATGAGGATGAGGATGAGGATGAGGATGATGATGATGATGATGATGAGGAGGAGGAGGAGGAAGAGGAGGAGGAGGAGGAGGAGGAAGAGGAAGAAGGTCGACAACCCCATCACAGAAGACCTCATTCCCTGCCACGAGCTGGACGACGAGGTGTCTGGTCTTGTTGTTCTTTCAAGGCTCGTTGGACGTCAAACAGCATACATGTCATGCACACGTCTACGAAGAAGCAAACCTGGGCCCCGCAGCGGCTAGAACGTATGCTTACCTGGCCCATGTTCCTCCTTCTCCGTTTTCTCCACCTCTTTTCCTCCCTCTTGCCCCCCCCCCTCTCCTTCAAAACTGCGCAGTACGAGTACTACTCTGCTCTCTCCCTGAAGATGGCAGGGGAGTGGAATAATCCCCGCCGCGTATTGTTTCAGCGCGCAATATTTCAAACGTGGTGTGTTTTGATGTTCTTTTGAATCGGAGCTTCTTCTGGTGTCTCAAAAAGGTGCTGCCGGTGCAGCGTCGGCCTCCTTTTGGGATCGGCGCTTTGCTCTCATCGTTCAGAATGGAGCGTGTTTCTTGATTGCTTGGGGCATACTGGGCATTACAGCCCCTCCCCCCCCCGTGCGCTCCGGGCACTGCCGCCGTGCGCACGGCGGGGGGGAGGCGTTACATTGTATCCCTCCCGCCCCCCGGACCCCCCCCTCCCCTCCCCCTTCTGATGCCCAGTATCGCCGCAATAAGGACACGCGCTCACGGCTCCGACGCCCCAGCGCGGGCCACTTTTCTAGATCCGAGTGCTTCCTCGCCGCTGTCGTCCCGCTCCCTTCCCCTCTCCCGTCTTCCCCATGGGCATCTTGCTCCTTCCGCTTCTCCCTCTCCAGCTCCTGCTGCTGCTGTTCCCCCTCGTCCTCCTCCTTCCCATCCTCCCTTTCCTCCCGCTCATCCTACTCCTGTTCATCCGAGTCCTCCTCCAATGTGCGCGGCTCCCATCTCCGACTGCGCATGACACGGTGGGGTCCTTTTCGGAACTCCAGGTCAGCTATGGCACGCGTTGGCGGGTAGAGAAAAGATCATCGTCATGGAAAGGGACGGGTGGGAGGGACGAGATGTCAGGTGTGGCGTGAGCGCACCTAGCTTGCCTCCACCCTCTCGCTTCCCTCCTCTCTCCTCACTCCTTCCCCTTCTCCTGCCCTTTTCCTAGATTCTGCTGCTTCTGCTGCACTTGCTGCTGCTGCTGCTTCTCCTCCTCCTCCTCCTCCTCCTCCTCCTCCTCCTCCTCCCCAAACCCTGTCCTTCAGGGCCGTGCACGTTTTGGTCGATTCGACACTGCGCGTTGATGTCTCCGCGTGGCGTCGATGGAATCAGTTGCGCACCCCTAAAGGGCGGCTCCGCTTCTCGTCAGAAGGGGGCCCGACGCGATCGATCCGATGATGCAGGCGATTCGATCGACCTGTGACTCGGGGCAGTCTTTGGGCAGCTGCGGACCTTGCCTCGCCCACTCTGCATCGGAGTCCTCCTCGCACTCCCATGCGGCCCCTCGAGAGGTACAAGGAGGCTGAGCACGAGTTCTGCAAGTGGCACTCGGATCGCCAGGCCAATGGGGTAGGAGGATTTGGAGGTGGAGAAATGGGGAGCAAGACGAGCAGCGGCAGGAGGAGGTGGGAGGAGTGCGAAGGGAGAGGACGGAAGAGGAAGGACGGGCATCAGCAGAAGGAGCAGACGTAGCAAGAAAATGAGGTGCGCATGAGCAGAGCAGAGGTTCATAATGAAATGATGCTGATACCGATGATGATGATGACGAGGCTGATAATGATGCTGCTGATGATGATGATGATGCTGCTGCTTCTGATGATAATGATGCGATTGCCGATGATGGTGCTGATTACGCTGATGATGCTGATTAGGATGCTGATGCTGATGGTGATGATGATGTTGCTGCTGCTGATGATGCTGATGCTGATTATGCTTATGCTATGATGATGGTGATGGTGAAGGTGATGGTGATGATTATTATGCTGACGGCTGTGATGAGATGCTGATGATGCTGATGCTGCTGCTGCTGATGATGATGCCAATGATGCTGCTTCTGATGATGATTCTGTTTCCATCGTACTGGTGACACGGTGATGCCAACGACGGCGACAACGATGGCGTCGATGAGGAAGATGAGGAAGATGAGGAACCTGATGACGACGACGGTGATGATGATGATGATGATGATGATGATGATGATGATGATGATGATGATGATGATGATGATGATGATGATGATGATGATGATGGTTGTGGTGCTGACGGTGATGATGATGACGATGATGATGCACAATATGAGGATTCTGGTTATGATGGAGGATGACGATTGCGATGGCGGTGGCAGTGATGGTGATGGTGGTGATGTTGATGGCCAATCTGGTGGTGTGGTGGTGATGAAGATTCCTCTTCCTTCGACTGGGATCCGCTCAAAACCAGTCCCTGGACCTTTACTGGGGTCCGTTGTTGCTTTCTTTCCCCCGACCCAGTGGTCGAGGAGTTCTTCGTAGCGTCCCCCTGAGGGGTGTCCTGTGTGGCGGTGCCACCCCGAAGTCCGCTCGCCGCTACGCGTCCGACGCAGGTGGAACTCCAGCAGACCTCCAGTGGAAGTCCCGGGAGGGCCTATTCGGCAAGTCGGCGTGCCTCCAGGATCGACTGGGAGTCCCCAAGAGGGCACCGAGACGCGGCAAGAGGCATCCTGGACAGCTTCACAGGCCGAAGGGCCTCACGATGGCCCCAATGCGGCCCAAGAGGGCCAAATCAAGCCTCCAAGATGGTTGCAAGGTACTCCTGGGAGAGGTGGAAATCTATGCCACATATTCATTTTCATCATTTTTCTTCTTCTTGTCATTCTCATTATTATTCTCATTATCATTACTATTTGTAGTCTTATTATCATTCGTATCATTATTATTATGATTATTATTGTCATGATGATGAGTATCATTATTATTACTACTCTTATTCTGATTATTATTCACATTATTATGCTCACTAGTCTGACTAGTATTGTCATTATTACTACTAATATTATTATTATAAGTATTGCTATTATTGTTATTATTCCCTACCTAGGCTCTGCGTAGAAGGGTTCTTACTCGCTTGGCTTAAAGGGGCCGGGCAGTGCAAACCGCCCCGGGCGGTTCCCCCAGTCCCCTGGGAGCCAAGCAAAAGCAACAGCAAAGGTAAAAGCAAACGCGCGGTTCCCCCAGTTGCGCTCCCTGGGTGCCAAGCAAAATCAAAAGCAAAGGCAACAGTGAAGGCAAAAGCGAAGGCAAAGCAAAAGCATAGCATAGCATAGCATAGCATAGCGCAGCATAGCATAGCGCAGCATAGCAAAGCATAGCATAGCATAGCATAGCCTAGCCTAGCCTAGCCCAGCATAGCATTGCGCAGCATAGCATAGCATAGCATAGCATAGCATAGCATAACATAGCATAGCACAGCGCAGCGCAGCATCCAATATTGCTGCTGCTATATATATATGTACTTGTGTGTGTGTGCGCACGTATGTTCCATGCATGTTGTCCGTCTGTGGGCCATCTTGAGCCCTTAGTGGGGCAGCTTGAGCCCCTAGGATTCACGAAGGTTTCGCACATAGCACCGGCCGGGAGACATGAAACCCGACGTATTATCGCATGTCCTAAATGTCTTTCTATATATGCAAATTCGTGTGTATATATACATAACGCCCATGTGGAATGCCTGCTTCTGCTGCTGCTTCACTTACGGCGTGGCGTCGGCGGTTCTGGCGCTATTATTACTACTACTACTACTACTACTACTACTACTACTACTACTACTACTACTACTAGTACTATTACTACTATTATTTCTACTACTACTACGACTACGATACTACTACTACTACTACTACGTACTACTACTATACTACTACTACTAGTACGACTACTAACTACTACTTCTACTACTACTACTACCACTACTAACTACTACTACTCCTACTACTAACTACTACTACTACTACTACTACTACTACTACTACTACTACTACTACTACTACTTACTAGTATTAGTACTACTACTACTACTACTACTACTACGACTACTACTAACTTGCTACTACTACTACTACTACTACTACTGCTACTACTACTACTACTCCTACTACTACTACTTCTACTACTACTACTGCTGCTACTACCACTACTACTACAACTACTACTACTGCGACTACTACTACGACTACGACTAACTACTACTACTACTACTACTACTACTACTACTACTACTACTACTACTACTGCCACCACGACGACTGCTACTACTACTACTAATATGGCTACTACTACCACTACTACTACTACTACTACTACTACGGCTACTACTACTACTACTACTACTACTACTACTACTACTACTACTACTACTACTACTACTACTACTACTACTACTACTACTACTACTACTACATACTACTACTACTACTACTACTACTACTACTACTACTACTACTACTACTACTACTACTACTACTACTACCGCTACTGCTACAACTACGACGATGAGGAAAAGGAGGAGGACGGCGTTTACCGCTCCTACTAATGTTGCTTTCCTAGAGGCTCCAACTCCTAGGTAGGGTCGCACTGGGATAACAAGTATGATTATTTTTCTTCGTCGTATTCTTGCTGATCGCCGCACCTTCGGTGAATCTCCAGAAGGCCCCGACTCTCCCAGAACGCCCGATTAAGGCCCCAGGGGCCCCCCTGGACGGTCCCAAGAGGGCCTACTGTAGGTTCGAGTCGTGTCGACCTGCGGCGACCCCGCTGCCAGCGTTCAACGTTGAACGCCGCCGGAGGCCCAGCATTGGTCAACCAAAAAACAAAAGAAATGGCCGATCTTTTAAGGTTGAGCGATCCCCGCGGTTACAGCAACCAGCGCAGCTGTCGACACGACACGAACCCGCCGTATGAGGCCCCGCTGGGCCCTCTCCGGGGCCCCTCCTGCTCTTGTCTCACTTCCGCCGGGTCACGACCGCCCAGACGGGACGGGTGCCACGAGGCACCGGGCCCGCGCCGACGGGCACTCCTCACCAATCGGTCGTTGAGAGCAGGTCTTGGTGGGCCTGTTTTCCACCAACGCCACCAGAAGTTGGAGGGGGGAAGGAGGAGGAGGAGGAGGAGGAGGAGGAGGAGGAGGAGGAGGAGGAGGAGGAGGAGGAGGGAGGAGGAGGAGGAGGAGGAGGAGGAGAAGAACCCCCTCCCCCTCCTACTTGTGGTGGTGGCGGTGGAAAACGAGCCCACCAGGCAGTTTCGGATGCCCTGATTCCAATCTGCTTTCAGCGCCTTCCTACTCCAATGATCGGGCGGCTTCACCTTCTCCGTCCTCCGTACGGGGCGGACGGAGCCCAATCTGCTCTCAACGGCTTCCTACTTTGTGTTTCTACCTACTTCTTCCGACCGATGGGTACGCATCGATCCACTGAGAGCTCCATGGAGGATGTGGACTCGTACCTGGGCGCCCCCCCGCCTCTTCAGTGCCCAGGGTGGGCCCCCACAGCCGACACATATCCGACACAACCCTCCTTCAGGGAAGTCTTGTTACGCCAATGTTTCGAAGTAGGAGGAGGAGGAGGAGGAGGAGGAGGAGGAGGAGGAGGAGGAGGAGGAGGAGGAGGAGGAGGAGAGCCAGCGCCAGGTCACCTTCGAGTTCGTCGCCCTTGTTAAAGGCTCCCTCGAGAAGGGCACGTACCGCCACTTCTTCAAGAAGGCCGACGTGCAGCGCAGTAGTCAGGACAATGGGAACCTGGATGGCCCGCGCAGTGGAGCATCGCAACGGTGGAGGGGTTGGGGTTGGGGGGTGGGGGAATGGGGGAGGAGGGCCATGCTCTTCGCTTCTGTTTGCTCGTCCTCCTCCTTCCTCCCCCTCACTCTTCCTCGCTCCTTCCCCTCGCTTCTCCTCTTCGCTCCTCCTGCTCGCTCCTTGCCCCTCCTCCTCCTCCTCCTCATCCTCCTCCTCCCTCCACCTCCTCCTTCCCCCCTCGCTCCTCCTCCATCTCCTCCTCCTACTCCTCCTCCCCCCTCCTCCTCCTTCCTCCCCCTCGCTCGTCCTGCTCGCTCCTTGCCCCTCCTCCTCCTCCTCCTCCTCCTCCTCCGCCTCCGCCTCCTACTCAGTCCTCCTCCTCCTCGCTCCTCCGTTCAGTTTCCTCATACATAACGCCTTCCCGTCGCACCCCCAGACGTGTGGGTATGACGGGCTGGGCGTGTCGCCTGAGACTTCCCCACCGTGTATGACCCAGAGACCGGAACTTTGCGACAGTCACGGGTGGAGAGCGGGCCATCTTCAAGCTATGGCTCTCGCTTTGGCGCCGCGCACATTCGTTTTCAACCTGCAGCAGTTCCAACGATGAAGGGCGGGCCGTTTCCAAGCTATGACTCTCGCTTTGGCGCCGCGCACGTTCGTCTTCACATCGCAGCAGCTTCAAGGATGAGGGGTGGGTGGTTTTCAAAACGTGGCTCTTGCCGTGGCGCCGCGCACACTCGTGTCAAACTTGCAGCAGTTTCAAAGATGAATGGCGTGTGGTTTTCAACATGTGGCGCTCGCCTTGGCGCCGCGAACATTCGTTTCGACAGTTCGCAACCGTGTCAAGGACTCGCGTGGTTGAAGTCCCAGGAATGGTGTTCTGGCAAGATTTAGGGTTGTCAGGGCGCAATAGTCACGTTGATTCGCGACGCTGAACTCCCAGGAATGGTGCTTCGGCACGGTCTAGGATTTCAGGGTGCATTCGTCACGTTGATTCGCAACGCTGAAGTCCCAGGAATGATGTTTCGGCACGGTTGCGGATTCTCAAACGGTTGTCTTTCAATGGGGCATTTCCAAGCAACGCAATTTCTTGTAGGGTCCTGTGAAGAGGGAACCTGGAGGTGGGTTTTATTGCAACATCGTTGCTGCGTCTTGGGTTTACACTGGTCCTCCTCCTCCTCCTCCCTCTCCTCCTCCTCCTCCTCCTCCTCCTCCTCCTCCTCCTCCTCCTCCTTCTCCTTCCCCCCTTCTCCCTCTTCCCTCCTCCGTCCTTCCTCCTCACTCCTTCCTCCTCCTCCTCCATCCTCCCTCCTCCCTCCCCGCTCGTCCCTCCTCCCTCCTCCTCCTCCTTCCTCCTCCTCCTCCTCCCCTCCTCCTCCTCCTCCTCCTCCCTCTCCTCCCCCTCCTCCTCCTTCCTCCTCGCTCTTCCTCGCTCCTCCCCCGGGCCGCTGCTCCTCGCTCCTCTCCTCTTCCTCCTGCTCCTCGCTCCTCGCTCCTCCTTCTCCTCCTTGCTCCTCCTGCTCCTCCTCCTCCTCCTCCTCCTCCTCCTCCTCTTTCTCCACTCGCGCGCCCCCTGGAGCGCGCGCGAGAGAAGAAGGATCGATGATCGAGTTGTTTTGTCCGCCCGCTTTATGTCCCGCCCGCCTGGCCCGCGCGTAAGGGTTGGCCCGCCTGGCCCGCCCGTGAAGGTCTGTCCGCCAGACGCCCGTTCGGGTCCGGCCGCCCGACCCGTCCTTTCGGGTCCACACGCCCGATCCGCCTCTCTTACCCTGTGGTTTCTTTCCCGACCATCCTGTGGTCTTGGGTCCTCGTACCACCGAAGGCCCCAACGGCAGGGTCCACATGCACCGACTCGCTGAATGTCGGTACGCCCCTCAGACGGTTCGTGGCACCCTAGGGAGCTCCACAGAAGGCCCCAGTGGAGGGGGGTCGAAATGCGTTCCCTCGCGCCATGTAGGCACACCAGTCGCACGTTTGGTGGTCTTAGCGGGAGTTCACCGAAGGCCCCAGTGGGTGCGCTTGCATGGCACCACCGCGCCCACTTCGGCACGTTCCTCGCAAGTTTCGTGGCCCCCGAGGGAGCTCCACCTAAGGCCTCAGTGGCAGGTAGGGTCCACATGCGTCCCCCTGTCCCACTTGGGCACACCCCTCACACGGTTCGTAGCCTTATAGGGAACTCCACCCAAGGCCCAAGTGGAAGGGTGCGTCCCCCCGCCCCATTTCGGAACACCGCTCACACGTTTCGTGGCCCCAGGAGGAGTTCCACCAAAGGCCCCAGTGGGAGGATCCACATGCGTTCCCTCGCCACATCACACGGTTTGTGGCCCCATGTGGAGCTCCACAGAAGGTCCGAGTGGCAGGGCCCACATGCGTCCGCCCGCCTCATTCTGGCACGCACTTCACGCGCTTCGTGGCCCCATAGGGAGCTCAACCGAAGGCCCCAGTGGCAGGGTCCACACGCGTCCTCCCACACCAGTTCGGCACACCGCTCACACGCTTCGTGGCCGCATAGGGGGCTCCACCTCTAAGGCCCCAGTGGGAGGCCCCATAGGGCGCTTCACCGAAGGCTCCAGTGGGACGGTCCACTTGCGCCCCCCGCCACATGTCCTCACACGCCTCACACTTTTTGTGGCCCCATCGGGAGCGCCACCGAAGACGACTTGAACAACTGCATATGGTTGGCTCCTTCGCCAGCATTTTTCTTATCAAGTAGCTGGCATCACAGAGGTGCCCCCCCACAGAGTGACCACGATCGTAGACGGAGAGGGCGGGTGTCGAGGGTTTGGGATATGCACGCTGGGGGACACGCGAGCACTGAGCAGCGACATGTGTTAATAGGATGCGCGCTCTTTTTTCCACCCAACCTTGCTGATGGGGTTCCCGCTATTAGCCTCCCCGAGGGGGTTCGGAAGGGGGGGAGGCCCGAAGCACGCGCCGCGCCGCGCGGGGGGCGCCGGCAGAACTCCTGCAGGAGGCGGCGGAGGCCGTGCCGCCGGGCGCAGGAGAGCACGTGCAGCCACGCGGCTCGCTGCCAATGAATGGCCCGAGGGTTCGTCGAGCGCGGCCTCCCAAGCCCTTGGGCGGGTCGGCCCTGGGGGAGTGATCAAACGATAGCCTCGCGAGTGGTATCGCTGGCTGTAGAGAAAGTCTGTGGGTGTGGAAGACGGCAGAAGACAGGCAGAAGGAGGAGTGAGGGAGAGGAGACGAGACAACCAGACCATGTCCAGCCATCTAAGGGTGTTTCCGGGATCGACACGAGCTCCCCCTGAGGTTTCCCGACACGTGCCGAGAGGCCTCTCTGATCCCCAGGAGTCGAAGGCGACGCTCAAGTTGACCTCATCAGTCTTCCAAGGGGGGTGCGAGGTGCACCCGAGAGAGCTGGAGCTGTACACGTGAAAGGCCATGCGTGTTTACACATTTTTTGTCCTCGGTGAGCCCTGCGTACCTCCGCGGAGGCCTCTCAGGAAGGCTCCTCGGAGAGCACAGTAGCTATCCAAGACGACCACGTAATGATTCAAAGAGGCCACAAAGAGCCCCCAAGCGCCAAGAGATGCCCTGAGAGGTCCCAAGAGGGCACAACGTGTCTCCAAGAGACCCAGACGATCCAAGAGACCCTCAAGAGCTCCTCAAGAGGGCCTCAAGAGCCTAAGACAACCAAAGACGGCCAAGAAGCTCCCACATGCCTCCAGAGGCCCCCCCAAACCTTCCAACAGTGGGGCCAAAGGGGCCCCCAGGAAGGACCCAAGCTGCTTCAGGAGGCGCCGAATATGGCTCTCAAGAGGCCTGCCTTCCTTTCCTCATGTTCGTATTCCTTTTCCTTCCTCTCACTTCTACCTCGTGATTCCTCCTGGTTCTTTCCATGCCTCTCGAAGGAAGCAGGCGGAACGCATCGACACGAGGCTTCCCTCGTCTCCCTTCCTGTGTTCTTTCTTCCTCGCCCCCTCGTGCTTCCTCGCTCCCTCCGTTTTCCTCTTCTCCTCTTTTCCCTATTCCTTCCCTCTCCCATCTCCTTAGGTCTTGCTCTGCCTCTCGCCTCCCCCCTGTTCTCTTCCCCGCTCCCCTTCCCTCTCCATACTGCTCCCTCCTCCCCTCCTCGTCTCCTCCCACCCTCCGTCTGAACCCTCCTCCTCGCTGCGGCTTCTCCCTTCCTCAATCCTTCCTCCCTTCCGGGTCTCTCGATCCTTCCCTCCTTCCTGCTTGAGCC